ACAATTAATTACAAAACTCATTTTAGAAACAGCTTGGAACCGATCACCTCCTACCCAGGGACCAACTGGAACTTTTTTTTTGTAAAAGCGTATACATTTCTATTAATGATTGACTGTGTGGAATCTAGTGTTTATTATTTTTTACATAAAATTTTCATTCATAAAATAACAATAGATTATTTTACTTGAATTTAAATGTTTGTTAAAATAAATGTATAAGATAAAGTATTATGATATAGGTACTTTAATGTTTGGATTCTACTAGTCATGAATGTTTGTTTTTACGATATATACTCAATTTATATAATACTTTAATTGTTATGTTTAGTGCCGGTAATACAAAACAATCTTTATTCTGTTATATAAAAATCATTAGATCAGTAATGTGCACTAGGAACGAAAACCTCGTGAAACTTACGCATGCCCCAGTGTCATGACCTTGTAAACATTTATCACGTAAGGGGCGCTGAAGACATCAATCACATAATAGCTGATGTAACATAAGGATTAAGGACACTCGGTTATAAATTTTGCTATTACCTACAGTAGGAAGATTAGGATCGTTGTACTCGTAAGAGACGATATATGCAATTATGTAGTGTTATATAGTTTTAAAATTATGTAATATAATTTAGTAGTTTGTATCGAACTTCGCCAGTTATCACATTTAAAACATGGATATCAACAATTGACACAGTTTTATTCTTTTGTTTGCCCATTTTGGTCTGGGTCTTTAGATCCCATGTTTATATTTATGTTTGTTTGGGATTTATAACAAACAAAAATATGCCAACTGCGCTACTCGATTACTTATTTTACTGCGACAAGGTGCGCCAATGCACAAATAACTTTGTCAACATCCAGTCGATATAAATGTAAGTAGTTTTTTGGATTTTTTCCTTGGTGCAAAAATTTAAGTCTAGAAGTGACTCAAGATTTTTGATGAGTGGTTCAGTGTATCAGTCAATGCGTGTAAAAAAATTCACTTTTCAGTTTTTTTTTAGTATGAGCCATTATTAAGACTATTAACAGTATATTTTTTCTATTTCATTGTTTTGATTCGTAAACTAATGATTTATCATAAACTAAGAGTATTGTAAATTTTAAAGGAGCTGTTTATTTATTTATTCTCTTTTTTTTTTACTTGGCCTTTGACCGAAAAGCTTAAGAATCGGCCCCGACAAAAAACTGGCCAGCCTTTGTTTTTGTCAGTTACTCAGTTACAATGTAGATATCGGAGAATACCCTGTTTGTTTAAACGATTTCGATTTGATTAAATTCATCCAGAGTAGAAGATATTTTCTTTTTTAGAATAAGATTACGTGTTGTCACCTCTAAAGCCAAATAGAATGTTTCCAGTAAAAACTCTTAGGATCTCTACACTCACCATACGAAACACAGTAGTTTCTACGCTATAATTTTGTGATCGTGGTCCTTCCCCGGCCGAGCCGACCGATTCGTGCTACAACTATGATATACTCCTAGTTGCAACATGTCTCTACCACCTAAAAATATTAACAATTTGATGCTTGTACTTGTGATACTATCTGTGCACACTGTATCATCATTATAATTTCTGAGTAAAGTTTTGATGATATAATTATATTCCAATTAATTCGTAGTCGAGCGTGGGATTGAAAAATTAAGCAAGCCTCTACAATATCTTTTGTTGCTTTAACTAATTAATTTTTACAAAAACCTTGTAGAGACTGCGCTTAATAGTGCTGTGTTATAATTACCTGATTACTTTTCCGTTCTAATGGAAGCTGAATTGCTTGGGATTTGTGCATATTACAGACTCTAATAATATAAATATAGGGTTTCAAATTGCATTCTAAATCGATTATTACTTAGTATAGAGCTATAGCGGTTTCTTAATGTTTACTGTACGTAAGTGTTAACGTATATTGATCAATATTTTCACGTCTTTCAACTCTGGGTATATGCATGGGTATAATGGACACAATACAACCAAAACAGAAACGTAGGAATTGAATATTATTTTATCTCCGCCTTGGTAATTAAATCTTTGACCGTCTAGACAGTAAGCAGCGCGGGCATGGCAATATAGGCACATCATTATAAATACATACGTAACATAGGATACACGCACGATTTACGTACGCGTTAAAACTAAAAGTTCGTGATTTTAATAAAACAAGTATTGTGAATGCTCTGTTTCAACTTCAATAAACAATTTCCTATCATTTACACATGACTCTTTAAAAATGTATAAGTACGTCACTTACTTAAATATATTGCGATACAAACACAAAAAGTTAACGTTTAACCCAACGTTACTATTTTTTTTGCTATTCAGTCGAAAATATGATCTAAATATATTCCTTTTTAATTTTTTGTCCACATATGCACATAGGCACGCATTTGCATTTAGGATAGATGCAAATCTCTATGGCACATAGTTTGTGCCCTAAAACCGTGGATACACTAGGGGATATTAAGTCCCGCAACATGATGCGGAACACTCAATCAACGTGATGATGCAACGTTGCACAGTGACCCGCAACATTTTACGTGACGCGGGACATGTTGCATGTTCCCGCTCTAATTCTGTAAAATATGATAGAACTATTGCCCATATTGTAGTATAATATTTATATTAACATTTTTCGTCAATACTTTCATTTCATATTTTCTTCCTTTTAACATTAATATAATATGCGTCTATGTATATATGTGGTAGAGCCATGCTGCAGTTATACTACTTCTGGAAATTAACGAGAGCTCTTAAAGCCGACAAATCCTCACCGATGCCGCCACTCGTGAGACTAGACCACCCCGATCTCGCCCTAGACGATCTCGTAAAAGCCGAATGCCCAGCCGACAGTCGAGAGTACCAGTGCACGCCATCCACTGCACCAATAGATCCCGCTCACCTACTAGAAGTAGAAACGGAAGTAGAACGTAGGTCTGCGCTGCCACCAGCGGGTGAACCACTCGATCCTGTGACAGTAGATGAAGTCACCGAAACCGTTTCAGCTCACACCGCGTACACACCGTACACCCGCGTTCCTGGACGGTTCTCACCGCCCAGACCATCGACCGACACGAGCTGAGCAGTCAGAGACGGGGGTCCGCACTCCCCCCCCCCTCGGACTGAGATTAGATAGCTCAAATAAAAACGCCTAAAAAGGCGACATGATGATTGGTAACAATATCAAATCACAAACCATTTCATCATCATCCTCACCTCATTGCCTTTCCCTTTTTTTAATTAGCCCTGAGACAGATGAAGCTGTAAGAGTCGCATAGACTAACAGCACTAACATCTAAATAATAGTAGTTATATTAGTAGTATAGTTGTAGCGCGAATGGGTCGACTCGACCGGGGAAGGACCACGCTCTCACAGAATACCAACGTAAAATAGTAGCTTAATGCTGCTGTGTTTCGTATGGTGAGTGTAGAGAACCGGAGACCCTTTTTACTGGAAACGAGGCATTCCATCTTAGTCCTCACGGGTGACAACGCATCTGCATTTTGATTTGTAATCGATAGATGTACATGTCTATGGGCCGCAGCAACCACTTACCATCAGGTGGACTGTGTGCTCGTTTGTCGCCCTATCCTATAAAAAAATGTAACTTGGTATACCTATTCTAAAATTGTTTCACTGATAACGAATAATGTCTCATGGTCTCCTCCAGTACAGGACTTAATTAATGTTCTAAATAAAATGTTAGTGTAGTTCGTATTAATAAGAGGCTAGCCATAAGGGTGATAAAATCTGCCCTTTTAGTTATCGTACTTTTGAGATACTTCAAGATAGTTACTGCGCAGACAGTATCGAAAATTAATAATTACAAGCTGAAGGTAGCCTGGGTTAATAACATTGAGTGTTATAATGCACTGAAAACGTAGGTACTTCGAATAAGTTAAAATTAAAACGCGTTAAAATCCTTTAAATTAGTTTCATACAAATATCAATAGTACAATTATAGGAGTTTACTGTTCATTTTTTTTAAATATTAAATATGAAGTACAAAAATGTTCTGTTGATTTGTGTAATTATAAGGCAAGATTACAAGATGCATTCGAATGATTCATAGAGGTCAGATAGAATTACAAAATCATTGCATTGCGCGAAAACAAGTAATTTAGATGTCGCATATTGAATCAAGGTGGTGCCAGCTCATTTTCCGATTCCTGTAAAGGCTTGCTATATGGGTGTTTTGTCCTCGTGAGGTTGCGCAAACGCTGCTGCGGCCAAAGGGAACTGTCACGAGCGCCCGTCACACGCTGCTCTTCTCAACGTGACTTCGCTTCTGTATTGCTTCTTTAAGTGATCGAGTTTTTCCTGTACAATAAATACTAACGACGGACAGGACAATGCGACTGCAGATTAAGTCACTTCTCTTCGGGCTACTACCTGATTAGCAATCACGTTAAATTCAAAGACAAAAAAAACTTTAAATACATGACTTAGTTGAAGCTCTGGATGAATACACGGATAATAATTTTTTGTATGTGTGTTAAAATAATAATTGTCAAGTAATGAATTTTCGTAACCATTTTCATAAAATGTATATATATATATGTATACCTAACTATTTAAAAAGTAGCAACAGACCTATCCTTATTTTATCCGTATCGAAGAAATAATGTATTTCGTCTTAGATAAATATAATTAGGTAAATTCCTTAATGTTATAAATAATAAACTTAGTTTTTTTAAAGGTATTAACTGCATCATTAAAACTAAAAAAGGCTAGAGTCTGGCGGCTTGCAATCTCATATTTAAACGTTGGTGACTGTTACAACACTCTCAGTACGACTCTAGTCGCTTTGCCGCTTGGATCAGGCGCGTGTAAAGCGCCGGCCACACGGAGAGGGCGAGAGAGAAACGGTGAGGCTTAACTCGAAATAACTGAAGAGCCTAAGTCCAGCTACATTAGACATGTGGACCAAGTGAATGCAGTGTTTAGTGACGTAATTAGTGAGCAGTCAGCGGGAAACCGTGGAATTTGACAGCACTTTGAACAATGGATACCAAAACTTCGGTGAGTGATGCGTTGGATTAATAAAATAAAACAATGCGTGCTGATAAGAAACACACAAAGGTAGGAAACCTGCAGCTAGCAGCAATTGAATAGAGGCGTTGAGATAAAATGTTAGTACTTTAAGCGACCTTGCTTATTTGCTACAAAAGCCTTTTTACGCGACGTTCCAGTCAAAAGGTTATGTTTTTAGGTGTATGTGTATGTTCTTTTGCAATCTCTTCGAGCGGCTTCATGAACTTTGAAGTGTGTGGTTAATTCATATTTTTTCCCGAAGTGTAACAGGCTATATTTTATGATAATAATACCAAAACAACAATCGCAAAACTTAATAAACCCTTTCTGACGAGCGATTTCGATGATTAATCTATTAGTTTAAAATAGTGGTTATAGATCACTGCAATATAGTTTTTGTTTTTAATAATATTTTTAGTTTAGTTTATAATAATTTACTATATTATTAGTTTTGATATTTGCCTAAATTACTTACCATCGTAAAAAGTACCTGCTGTCGTAAATCCATAACCAAAGAAATAAATATGTATCTATTTCAAAGAAACCTTTATTCATTAGGTTAAATTATCCAATTACTTTTAAAGAAAGTAAACATTTTATTATAATCAGTAAATTTAGAGTCTATATTTAGCCCCACTACTGTGCACAGGCCTCCTCTCATTTTTGAGATAGTTTATTGTATTAATTTATTATATTAAGAAGTGAATAAAAAAAATTCTTAAGATGGAGGGGGTTTTAAGGTTTGTTAATTTTATTTTTATCATGTAACCAACCATATTATGTAACTATTATGAAATCATAATTATGAAGACATCATTTTATAAACTTTAAAGCTAACAGAAAAAAACGGATGGGACACAAAAAAATATGGGATTTACATATATATTACTAACATAAATTCCATATTTTTATCATACTTTAAAATAAATAAAAATTTGTCTACTATTTACTAAGTTTTATAAAATTGGTCAATGTCTCTTGATTAATAATATGTATGCGATTGGACATTATTAAGAAAATAATGAAAAACACATTGTACAGTCAAATTACTGGCATGTAATTTTTTTTTAAGTCTCGCTGTTTTTTCTAGTTCTTCCACGACAGAGATATTTTCCGAACTAGTGGTAAAATAAAAATGACTTTCAATAAATGTAATAAACTATATTGAATAAAAATCATTATAATTACTCTATACTATTCTAATGAATAAGTACTATAAGTGGAATGTTTTATAGCAACCATTCATGAGTCACGAGTGTTGTCCAAATTTGATCAGATCCGCGATTATGTTGATATAAATTTAGAAAATGCGGTGAAAAATAAAAGCTATGCATGACTGATTCAATAATAAACATTTTATTTCAATTTATGAATAATTTTAAGCAAAACGGTCATCAATCATAAATGCTTTTCATGTTCATTGAATATAAAACACATACAAGGGCATGATACACGTAAAATAATCCGAGCCGCAATTCTCAGCAGTTATTTTATTTAACGATCATATTGTTTGGTGCAGTCTAAAAAAACCCTAAGAAATGCGTAAGCAAGGTTGTATGGACCGGGCCTAATGGCAGTTGTTAGGTCCGAATTAAATGGCACAGGGACTGACGACTAGTTGCCATCGACGGGCGGCCTTCACATTTCACAACACCCGGACTTAGCGCGCATCCAGCCAGACGGCTCCGGGCGGCTGTGGTGCACTCATTACGACAAAACCGGTGTAGGCCGAATATACAGTAGTTCTCTTAAATATCAACAAACACTTCCTATTCACGTACAAATATTCTGGAATCTCGTAGAACTTTGTCTATTACTCAAGGTTCCACTTCGAGACTGAATTTAAACAAAAATATACAAAATTAATATTCCCAATGGCATTTATTGGACAATCAATGTCAGAGGTTTATTAGTGATGATATAATAAGTCGTATTAACTCAGGGTCCGAACCGAATTTGCACAATAATTCATAAATAAAACATTTACATGGATGACGTAAAAGTTAACATACATTTCCATATTTCATACACAACAACACATAACAAAGCTATACTTTGTATATAACGAACGTGACAAACGGGCATACAGTCCACCTGATGATTGACGTGTCTGCTGCAGCCTATGGACACCTGCAACCTACTTCGAACAAAGAAGGCTAAAGATGCGTTATCAAATCTAACGACTGAGATGGAATTCCTCAGTCTGTAAATATACTGGTTTTCTGTACCCCTTAGACCGGGGTGGAAGTACCGCTATTAGGCGACGGAAATAGGTACGAGGGAAATATATAACAAGATAGACTTATCGGCAGAAAAGATAGACCAAGAAAATATAAGTTATGATAAAGACGTTGAACGAAATGTCATGCGTATGAAGAATTTCAAAAATAATATATATTGTCAATGTACATGCTTTTGTTAATTTTTATAAACATATGTCTGAAAAATAATGACGACATAAAAATATATTAGCACCTTAGATCATTTAAGTTCTAAAACTAAAGTTCACGACAAACAAGTCCAATATACTTTCACTGTTGAAAATAATTGAAAAGTAAAATGCTTTACAAATATATTACGGAACATTTTACTATCGAATAAAAACGGAACAATCTCCAAGTCGATGTAAACAAATATTTTTCCTATTGCATGATACTTGGCTTACAGAGCTTTCTGATTATGTAATAATTGCGGCTTTGACGGCCTTTATTTTTTGTAATATATATCTTTCACTTTATAGAATATGGCTGAGAAACGAACACACAGTCCACCTGATGCCAAGTGGATGCTGAGGCCCATAGACAAGGACTGTGTATCATCACCCCTGAGATCTAAGATGTCTCGTTTTTGTTAAAAAGATTCTCCAGTTCTCTAGACTCACCATTGGAAACACAACAGTATTAAGCTGCTATTTTACGCTGGTATTTTACATGAGCTATATCGGTGATCGTCATTATTCTCCCGACTCACTTTCATTATTCGGATGCTCTATGCTTTCGCATATACCATGGAGAGTGCTCTGAGGAATTGTTCGGATTAATCCCAGCCGCCAAATTTCGTGAACGCACTACGCGCCAAACGTCCCGATACCATCCACACCATCTGGATGCTTGGCGGTCCACCACTGTACGTTTCAAAAGGAGTTTTCTTCCACGTACAACCTCTCTGTGGAATAGTTTACCACCGGCGATTTTTCCGGACTGATACGACCTGGGGACCTTCAAGAAAAGAGCTTACTTCTTTCTAAAGGGCAGGCAACGCACCTGCAATTCCCCTGGTGTTGCGGTTGATCATGGGCGGCGGTAGTCACTTAACATCAGGTGAGCCGCATGCTCGTTTGCCCCCTCTTCTATAAAAAAAATTCTGTGCAGCATATTTAGCTTATTTTCTGTTTCTTTAAAGTTTTTTTTTAATATTATTTTAGACATTCCTTTATCGTCGTCCTAAAGCTCTAGATCCCTTGACGTCAAGGTAAGAGAGGTGTAAGAGAGGTGGTACCTACCTATAGTATGAATAAATTGACAGTGTAAATGTGACTATTTGCGACGTACATTTTCAATGTCATTCAGATATTTCATATTAGAATGTCATTGACATATCAAAAGAGAAGCTAGCTTTACGCACCTTTTGGTAGATAAATATTTTATATAGGTATATTTATAGCCTATGCATGAGTTGGATAAATTGTTTATTTAAAGATTATTAATAAACAAATTTTTATCTCCTGTATGCTTGTAGAACCGGATTTACTTTAACAAAACGGATTCAGATCAAACCGCTACAATATTAAATATAGTATAAGCTTGTAACAACCATCTTGATGGTATTTGCGAAGTACATTTTTAATGTCATTCAGATATGACATATTACAATGTCATTGACATATCAAAAGAGTAGCTAGCTTTAAGCATATCTTATAAAAATCTTATTTAACGGCCTTTTGGTAGATAAATATTTTATATAGGTATTATTATAGCCTATGCATGAGTTGGATAAATTATTTATTTAAAGATTATTAATAAACAAATTTTTATCTCCTGTATGCTTGTAGAACCGGATTTACTTTTACAAAACGGATTCAGATCAAACCGCTATAATATTAAATATAGTATAAGTAGCAACCATCTTGACGGTCTGTCACGTTCTTGTTCTACTTTATAATCTGTTTCATTATCTTTATAGGTTCTTATTCAGTCAACGCTTTCACAAGTATAATCCTGACCTTGGGTTTAAATAATCCAAGATATTTTCCTTGCTATTGCATATGTGATGTAAGTTTGACTAAAGGATGCGACGAGTTTCTGATTACAAAATATTGAAATAAAAAATTTACACCGTGCACCTGCAAACTGATAAAGGTCGACTCAAACTAACTCGTTAAAAACATGTGTATGGCCTATGTATACATGCGTATATATATATTTTATTTATTAAGGGGCTATAGTAAATTCTGATTTCGCCCCCACTTCTCCGCGCGTCGTATGCTATGTACCGACATGTTTGTAATCACTAATACTGTAAGTAGATAGGTCGTTGCTGTGCGTGCTGCGTGCTGTGTGCTGCGTGCGTGCGTGCGTAGATACTTATTTCATTAGGTTTATCATATTTATGTCTGTTTCTTTACGCCAACCTAGTCGCTTCTTATTTTTAATACAGTTATTTCCCATTTTAATTTTACGTCGTCCTGTTGCGTAATGTGTATTCTGATTGTAAGCGAGACAGCTTTCCCGCTCAAAAGCCGAAGCTAGACTGATCGGGCGGCAGGAAACAAGCTTCAAGACGCCGATAGTTTAGATAACTTCTTTTTACAGTGAAAATAATGGTAATTAAAAAAAAAATAAAAAAAACGTAAGCCCTGCTTTATAGTAAGTTCAGTTAGTATGCAAAGTTTCATGATCTAATTTAAAGTATTTTATGAATACCAGCGGTTTATTGTTAAGTTTGGAGGTAACTTTGGATTTTTTTTCTATCGAGAAAATTTTATGGAA